TGCCAATGCGGCCGATCTTCCATTTAATATCTTAATCATTCTTATCAGGATTAAGAAATGTTGTTGTTTACCTATTTTTGATCACTTTTTCACTATCTTTATCTCTCTATCTTATTTTTATATATTTTTTATGTCTGCAAAAATTAGTGTCTAAGCTAAGGTTAAGCAGACTTTTCACCCCGGTTGAGTTAACATCTCTCAGTTGTAAATCATGCAGTGTAAATCAACATCTTTGCAGGGCCAGGGGGTCCGTTGAAGAAGTCTGTGTTAAAAAGTGTCTTTGGATGTCCCAATCGTCCCCTATTCAAGTTTGGGATGGCATGGCTTCAACAGTCGGCACCTGGACCAGCTATCCAGGCGGGCTCTTTCTTCATCGTCGTAATAGTCAGTTCAGGTTGCCGTCGCCTCAAGACGCCTGAATTGCTGATGGCTCTCGATGAGCAGGTGACTCGCATCAGGCGGAGCTCGTAGAGCACCATTTACCGTCTGGACAAAGAGTATAGTAGCGGTCGGTATAGGCCCTCAACTTTTGATATCGTTTTTAAAGGCGAGCTTAGGGAACAACTAAGGGTCTTTTATCTGCCCTGTTGGAGCATGCGCCTTGTTCTGCCTTCATCAACCTTTAAGTGTCCTCGTGACAGATGGGCTCATGTCTGACGCTATGTCCCGCCTGAGAGTGACGACTCTATTCATATCCTCCACAGTTTTCCTCCCTTGAAGAGTCGTAAATCACTGTCGTCTTGGATACCCCTCTGTCCATGCTAGTGGTCACTTTGGGTCTGTAGGAGGGTGACATGGGGGCCAGGGAGGAGTGGAATAGGGTTTGCTGTTTTGCGCTGCCTAGTAAAACAGTGAAAGCCATCTGGATGCATTTTTGGGGTGGGAGGGGAGTGGAGTGGATTGGAGTGAAGTGAAGTGGAGTGGGTTGGAATGGATTGGAGTGAATTGTATTGTTTTGTATTGGAGCGGAGCGGAGTGGAGTGGAGTGGAGTGGAATGGAGGGGATGGGAGAGAAGTGGAGTTAGTTTGGGGTTGGAGCTGGGTGTGAACAGTGGAGGACCAGTTAGCCTGAAGACATGTGGATGCTTATCTTGTTAAACTATGATCAGTTTCACTTTTTGCCTATTTCGGGTTGGGAGAAAAAAATAGGATATAAACAACATTTATGCCATTTAGGCCTGAGCAAGTGGAATAATTTTATTTGCATTCTACCCTCTAGCCGACTGAGTATGCAGTACCATGTACATCGTTTGCCCCTTCGTTATGACTCCCCCACGGGGATGAAGTTAAGAGCCAAAATCCGAGCCAATCCGAGAGAGCACAATAAGAACAGACAAGGCTAAAGATTAGGGTAGAGAGTCTCGGTATGCCCAGGTCTGTAAGCCATGGCTCCCGACTAAGGCAAGGCGACACGATTTCGATGGACAGTAGTAATCGTTTGGCGAAAAGGATCGTCATTATTGAAACCGCTTCAACTTTTGGTCCTATGCTGCAAGAGCGATGCTGTAAACGTCCAAGAGCCCCATCCAAAGGGAACTGTGAGAAAAAAAGTTCGTGTGGTATAAGACGAGAAGAGAAGGAAGTAGGAAAACATCGAAGGGAAAGGATACCAGGAAGGTGAGAGGACCAAAAATGAGGATATAACTATGTATCTAGTAGACATGAATGT